ATATGAAAAAAAAAAAATGCTTTTAAAACAAGTATGGATTTTTCAAAATTGAAAATTGAGCAGAAAAATACTGCAGAATCCGTTTAGAATTTCCTTGCAAATTGGCTCATGATCAAAATGGAATAGTTGAATCATAAAAATTAAAGAGACACACTCTGTGATGGATCAATAAACACAATTTGCAAACTATGTTAATCAAAATATTAAAAGTCGTCCTGATTAAATTATAAATTTTGATCAATATGCTAACATATGGAGAAATTAGTGAATTACTTTGCTAAATATGTGCTTTTTTCACTAACATTTGTTTAAAAAATAAATTTTTAGATTATTTTAGTGAATTAACAAACAAGAAAAACTATCGATTGAAAAATGTAGCAAAAAATTACATTATCTTAAATAAGAGAAGGGCGGAATTTTCGTAGATCTATAATTAAATTATATTAAACTAAACCTTTCAACCATAATCAGAATAAAAGATGAAATTAAAATTAACGCGTCATGCGGTTTATCATAAAATATTATGCGGGATCATATAAATAAATTAACACATTCAATTTAATACATAAATTAATTTTTTTATGTGTTTTTAATTATTCTGATTACTTTGGTATTTGGTTTTTCATACACGGTCAATTTAGTCGTTTTTCACTATTTTATTTAAAAAATGGAGGGTTCAAGTTCTTGGATTTACCAAAGAGATTCGCTGTTCATGAAATAATTTTCCTTTGTCTTGGATTATTTAATTTTAATTAAATTAACCGTAAAAAAGCGTACGTTTCATTAAAAATACAACGTTTGTAAAAAAGTTGCTCTCGTTTCTAATTAAAAGCGTCCAAGTTGTCAGGCAGCTAGCGTATCAAAATTTAATTTCTCTTTCAGATCGCCGCTGCAGCGAACCCATTCTTCTCGCCCTTGTTGGCTCTCGTCCCTTGGAATCTGCTGATTAATTACTTATCAAACAACCTCGGGCGTCTTAAAGAAAATGTATGGCAGAAAACTCTCCGCGGATTTGAATTTCCTTTGTCAAAAGTTTGCTAATTAAACACGATGAAACCAATCCGAAGTCGTTTCAATAATTCACAGGCGGAACAAGTTTGCACAAGAAATTTGTTTTACAAAAAGAAATACGAATATAAATTCCCTTGGAAAATCAAGCGCGCATTACAGATCGATGTTTTGCGCAATAAACGTCCCATTTTCCGAGTACGAGAGCCAAAAGTGTACGAAAGAGAGAGAGAACAAAATCTCCGGGGAGATGAAAAACCGCAGTGGCGGGAATCGAGCACGCAGCAATTCATCGCCAAAGAGAGAGAGAGAAAGAAGAAGAAGAGAGATTCGGCTAATAAAAAGCATCCTTATTGCCGACGTCGACTTCCGGCGGCCGCTTTTCACGCAGAGCCCCGTTTGCATTGCTCGGCAGGAAAAAAAAACGTAAAGGGTGCGGCGGTTCGGAGCCAGCGAAATATCTCTGCCGCTTTTTGCACAGGGCCTGCTTGTTAGTTATTGAATCACATGCACGCCGCAAGAAATTTGACGTCGGCTTTTGAAAATCCCCGTAATCGATTTTCACATTAGGCCGCGCTATTGTTGCTCTCTCGGCCGCACGCGTTTTGATGCCCGTCGACGCGCGCCGCGGTAATTTAATATAATAACTTATCATTAGCTGCAGAGCGAGAGAGGCTGGCTCGCTCCGGCAGGTAGGTAGGTAGGTAGGTGGGCCGCCGCCGCCAAACTCGGAATTGACTTGTTCCCGCAACACACTGCACGAGACGTACTCTGCATGCAGGCTAATTGGATTTAATTACATGCCTGCCGAGTTTATTAATTACCTTCGTCGACGGTCCAAATTGAATTTGGAGTAAAGTTCGAGCGGCACGGACTGCGTGTCGAATGGGCGACAAATCTCCTTGCGAATTCAAATTAGAGCGGTTTGAAAGTCACAGGCGCTCGCATAACTACAGACTTGGCAAACTTCAATGATTGTCCGATGCAGGTCCGATGGACAATTCTTCACCAAAAGCACAAAACTATTTTAGAACTAGCGATAGAAAGACTCATTTTCCCAAAAAAGATGAATTATTGGGATTTTATTTAAGTTTGAAAATTCTCTGGTGGTTTTTTTTTCCTAAAAGGCATTTTCTAGACAGCAGTTCTTTTTTTCTTTTAGATTCAATACAAAGTAAAATTAAGTGAAGGGTGGTTTATTTTTTTTTTACCAAAATAAACTATGTCACTCTATTTCTCAGGTAATAAATTTAAAAAAAAATGTCTTATACTTCAAATTTTGCCTAATACTGCTTGAAGTTTGGATTGAAATCAGTAATTTCATAACAAACTTCAAGCAATTAGATTAAATTTAAGATATATTTTTGGATTTATTACCCACGAAATTTGTATTCTGCAAAAAAATGTATGAAGATAGCGGAAAATAGTGGGGAAATCTAAAAAACATAAATAATTTTTAAAAAATTAAAAAAACTGTTTAGCTGATGATTTGATATTATTTTATTAATCAAAATGATATTTTTGTTTGAAAAAACAAGCTCTACATACAACTATAAAAACCCATTTGACTATTTTTATTTTATGAAACTTGCAATTTCATTTTATTGAGAATTAGGAAGAACATAATAATTACTTATTTAATACTCCTAAGTAAACTGTTTTTTTCAAACATGGATTGATTAATCGGTTTAATCAGATCAGTCCTAGGAGAACGCACACATCTCCCTCACCGAGCTCTGTAATCCGAATCAGCTAACCGGCGATGCAGAGCAAATTAATTAATTAAGCAACCGCAAAGTGCAAATGCTTGAGCAGAGAGAGGCGTGTGTGCAAGTTTTGCTCGCAACCTACTTTTGCGCGTTTCTCTCTCGTGTTGTTCACCAAAGTTGCTTGCACTTGGATGAGAAGAGCGCGTCGTCTTTGACGATGATGTTGCTCGTAATTCACTTAACGACGAGCAGAAAAAGCAGGATTTTGCAATTTCTTCCAGCTCACTACGTTTTCCAATCAACGAGGAGGAAAAAAGTAGTCTGATGAATTCTGTCAGAGAGAATTTTCCTTTTGAAGTGAACAATGGCTTCATTGTTTTGAGATGAATTTCCCGATGTTGAAAATGAAAAAGAGAAAAATGGTGCGCGCAATTTCGGGCAAAAAATTAAGATGAATTTCAGAGGCGCAAAGCAGCAAGAAAGACGAAGTGCTAGTTGATTTGTGTGGTTGGTTTATGCGTAAAAGTTTAAATTAAGACAAAGAGAGAGAGCCGCACATACTCTGCATGGAAAAGGAAAAGCGTCTTCCAAAAGGCAGTCGTAAAAAGTGCGAGCCGGCGAACAATCCAAACTTTCTGCTCTCTCTCTCTCTCGCGGCCCTTTTCTCGCTTCTGTTTTTCCGCACGAGAGAGAAGCAGCAAGTCGAGGGCCACTTTGTTGGCACAATGTTCCGCGCGCAAAGGAAATGAGCAGCAAAAACTGGGCGATATTGAAAAAGTCTGCCCTCAAAACACACCCCATATAGCTGCAGGCGCACAATCTCAATTAGCGGCGGCGGCAGTCGAAAAGTTTTATTTCCAGTTGTCTTGGCTGCGCGACGAGAAAATCATACCAAACAAGCCTTTTTACTTCGCAATGCCTGCTCAGAATTGAATTTTCTTACATTTTCTCAAAAAAAAAACCATCCAACATTCAGGCAGAAAAATCTCTTTTTATAAAAAAAGGGAAGGTAATACGGCCTCTTCAAAAGATATTTTTTTTTTACGATTGAAGTATAAAAAAGCCAAGCATTTATCAAGAAAACTTCATTATTCTTTAAGTTAACAATTTTCCCAAATTTTATAGTTGTTCAATTAAATTAAATTTTCAACAAGAAATACTAAACAACTATTTACGTTTCTAACGCTTTATACATTTTTTGTTTTCAGTAAATACTGCTATTATTTTTTTAAATAATTTTGGTTCTTTTTCATTTAATTAAATGCTAATTACAGCTATAAAACTGCCTTGATTATTATTTTCTCTACGCTCCTGTGCGCAAAATAATATTTAATTCTCTGCTATTTAATCAGAGATCAAAGTGAAAATTTAGGGGCGGATTGGGAATTTGTAGACGTTCGATGGCGTTATTAACGCAACTCCTAAAAAACCCTAAAAACAATAAGCTGGCATAATTTAATACTTAGCCCACGTAGCCAATATTCACGGGCTCGATTTTTAAAGTATTTAAATGACTTATCCACGGAAAAGTGTAATTCAAATACATAATGAATAACAAAATCTGTTTTCATGTTGAATAATATTAAATTTTTTTACAATTGATTCTTAAAAATATATTTATTTTTCACGAATAAAATGTGATTTCATGAATTTTAAAAAACGTGATTGCACGAATTTCAATAAATGTGATTTGACGAATTTCAAAACATGTGATTATAATTTATAAATAATGATACTTCTTATATGAGAGGTTTTGAATGAATGAATGTGTTTATTGAACGCCAATGGCGTGCGACAAAATAAATATTTTTTTTCTGTCTGTTAAGAAAATAAAACCAAACAGCAATGTTTTTTTTCACCTAAAATCTACCCATCGTACTTATTGCTTAATTTATTAAGGTCGTATTGCGATAATTTTGTTTTAAAATAAAATGAGGCTTAAATTAGGATGGAAATTCCATTACCCTATTTTTGTATCGTTAAAAAATACAGTTGCGTCCCTTTCGCCTTTAACTGCAAACATTCCGACCGGTACACGCGAAACTTAGCTAATTAAGCTGACGGAATTAACCCTTTAGTCGGCCATTTGCCCCTCCAAATTGATTAAATTGTCGGTGAGAGCGGGTCGGGCGCATTCCTCTTGAAGGGCATCTGCATGAGTGCCCCGAGCAACAAATTGCCTCTCGAGACGATAATTAGGCGTGGGCCTCTCAAGAAGACACACGGCTAATTTGATCTCGATCGGATTCGAGCCCGGGATAATTAATCCGAACAGACACTCACCTGAGGTCGTGCTGGCCGCCGCTCCGGGCGCCGGGGGATTATTCAAATTGCTGGAGCTCACGTTCGGAACATTGATCACCCGTGATGGATTCATCATGGACTCTGCGGGGCAAACAAATTTACTTTTTTTACCCTCCACTTGCGATGCTTGACAAATAATCCCCGGGCAAAACAGCCGCTCGGGGATAAATAAATAAAAACGGATCATTCATTCATCCTGCCTGCCTGCCGTGTTATGCAACTCGCCGAACGTGTCGTTGCGAACGGTTGCTTAACTGCCCACGTGGGCGTCGTTCCCCTCTCGGCAGGAAAAATATGCTCAAAAACTGCTTTTTTTTTACAAAAGTAACTTGTGAATAATGAAAAGGCTGCAGAGAATAACTTTCTTTTCGACGATTTATACTTTGGGGAAATGCAAAGATTTTTTTTCTTGTAGGAAATTTAAAAGCCAAAAGTAAGGAAAATAATAATTTTTTTTATAATTTATCGTTATTGCGTGTATGATTTCATACAAATTGATTTTTCAAAATAAATGTCACTGAAAAGCAAATTTTAGCTACTTTTTTTTAAATTTAACCTTTTAATCTATTTTTCTGTGGAAAGCAGGGTTTTTTTAAAACTTTTTATCAGGTTTTGTGGGCTAAAATTTTACCTTTTCCACTTATATTATCTTATTTGATTTAATTATTCATTAATTTTTCAAATGCTACATTTTTCTTCAAAGATTTTCTTTTTAATTTTTCAATCAATACATAACTTCCGGTATTTGGTAATTCGTGTTCAAACACATGTACAGAATAATAACTAATAATCTGCTTGCAATAATCAGAAAATCTTTTATGCCCAAGTTTACAAAACGTTATGAAAATAAATAATTTTGGATAAATTCATCTTTCATTTAAAGATTTGTACAAAATACTTCGATTTAGCCTCAAATTGACTAATTCTGATTATTATTAAACAAAACAAAATATCTTTTCCCTGAGCCCTAGTAAACATTTTTCCGAGTAGAAAGAATGCTTGGATGTAGATCGGATGACTGTGGAATACAAATAAACGCGTCTGGTCCCTACAGTGCAAAAAGCGTTTTTCAAACGAGCTAATTTTCACAAAGGTATTTTCCAGAGACTGGCTTTAATTGGTACTTGTCGCTTTTGAAACGAGCTGCAATAACACAAATCTCGTAATTGAAGTCGAGCATTTTCCTCTCCAACGACATTCAATTAAGGGCTCAATCAAAAGGGCGGTAATGACGCGCTGAAACGGGGGTTGCTCTTTATGGCACGCCAGATAATCGCGGCGCTAAGTGAAGGGTAGTCAGAGCCACTCGGGGTGAGGCGCACAAGCAGGCAGTTTCAGCCGACACCTGAAGATAGCGTGCGACTGAAAGCGTTCGCTCGCAATGGGAAACCTGTTGCGCAGCCACCCTTAGCAAAACGTTGGTGGAAAAGCACCGAGATGGCTCTGCGGTCTGCAAACGGGAAATTCAGAAAATTCAATGGAAACTTCTCTTCTCGAACTATCGCTCAGACTGCCAAATTTGTTTATTATTTTGAAAAAAAAAATAGTCAAAACAATTAATATACCAAAAAAAGATATTATATTTAGCATTCTTTAAAACTTTAATATTTTTAATAATTTTTAACCTTACGAATAAACATTTTTGGTTTCAAAATTCATTTAAAAAAAATTAAGCTTTTCATATTTATTAAACAGAATATTTGGAGAAATTTAAATTAGATATGAGCCTAGCCCAACACATTCCATCTCATGAATTTGATTTTTTTTTACCTTCATATCATTTTCTCTGAAAATGAGTTAACTTATTAGAAAATCTCCAGCCAATTTAATGTTTACAATATTGAATATTAGACTGCCTGAAACAAAAAGTATTGACCGAAATGTTCAGAACGCAGAATTTGCATTCAATAAATCTATATTTTTTAGCTGATTTTAATTTGATATGGGCGCATCAGATTTGTTAAAGTATGCAACCTGTGAAACAACAATGTGATTGGTCAAAACGTTCTAATACCAAATTGTAAAATTAATCGTCAGATGCACGGCCTGATAGCTCTGTATATATGATAATACGGTGGCACTGCAATAAATAATAATCATTTATCTATTAAATAGCAATAATTGGTGATTGGTGAATAATGCATTTTGATAATTCGATTAATTTAAAATTTACTTCGATAATCATCCTATGTTTTAAAACGGAATATCAGTAAAAAACGATAAATTAATAATGTCTATTTTTCTCCACAAATATTTGCTATTTACGAAAAGTGGGTATTTTATTTCTTATCCTGACACTATCAAATTTAAGTGCTTGTCATTAAGTGTAACAAAATAAATTTTTGAAATTAAAAGTTATTACCAAGTGCTTTTTTTTATACAAATTTGAGATTAGTGGTGTAAAAAATTAATCAACGCAAACAATTTTTTTTATCTTTTTTCCTGATTCAAAATGATTGAAATTGATTAAAATAACTTTAATATTTTGTGAAATCGAAAGCGTTTTAAAAGTTGCCATTTAGTTTTTCCATTCTCAGATCAGAATAAAAAATTGCTGCAGCCTTTTCTTTATAACCTAAAACGAATATTTTGATTTTTTCCCTGACATCAGATTTTGCTATTAATTGAAATTTCTCCTTACCTGACTGTTTGGGGTCGAGATGCTGTTGGTCGTCGCCACTCGCCTCAAACTCGAAAGTGGCCCTGAAACCCTGGCCAGGCGTGGGCGACCTGGCCGACAGCCTGACGAGCAAATCTGGTCCCGTCGACAAAACCTCGAGCTGGAACGCTTGGTTGCACTCGGCCGCTATCACCGGGGCCATCCAAACGGCGCCGTCGTGCACTCGCACAATGTCCTCGCGCTCCAGACAGCTGAAAATTTACGCAATCGTCTCAGACTTACTTCTTGGAAATCGAAAAAAAAGCAGGAGGAAATTGCAAAAGACAAGTGTGTAATCAAGAAAGAGGAAGACGCTGTTTGTCACTGTGTGGGTGCTTTAAAAAAACCGAGATGAACCTCTTGTCGGCAAATTTAGCGTTGCTGAGTAATGGAGCTCTCGGAGGAAACGCTCGGATGGAAATATTAATCCGCAGGGAGACACTCGTCTTGTCTCCGCTATGTTGTGCAATTATCTTTTACGAGTGTATCTATATCCGCAGTTCAAAGCAACAACATGAAAGCAGTTTAGTGCTCAAAGAAAGTCTCCCACTCAGTAGCAATGCATTGAGTTAATTTAGCGAACCAATGCATAAAGCTGCAGTGGCGAATGATCTCCTTAGAAGCTCGTTGCGAAATTGCTCTTGCACATAAATCAATCCGACTTCACTTTTTTCAACAAAACTTTGGTCTGGATTTGAGATAAATGCCTAATGGAAATGGGGCGGTCGCTTTTAGAATCTTTATAAGCAGAGAAAACAAAATTTAAATCATCCATTAAATAAAAAATTTAAATTGATAAAATTGTCCCTCATTCATTCAGCTGCTTTCTTTTTTTAGAACTTGGCTTTTTTCAATACCTGGTAAGTTTGTTTTCAAAAATTAAAAAAGCGAGAATTTTTGCCTCTCTTGGCAGTACAAAATGATCATTATCAGTTCTTTTAAAACAATTTGCACGTTAATCTTCAAGGCCAGAATTTTCACCCAGGTCTCGTATTTTTTGAAGACACTCATTACCGCGGAAATTAATTTTTGGCCCGCAGCTCTTATCTGGTAGTAACCTTTTGAACGTTAAACTAGCTCTCTGGGCGTTAAAGACTTTCCCGCGCGCACATTAGACTCCCAAGAGCAAGAAGAAAGTGAGAAGTAGCGCTCGGCGGCAAATTTATGGGGTAATTAGCTGTCGGGGTGTGCGTTAGTTTGGGCGCACAAAGGCGACGTGTCATCGCTCGCGCTGCAGTTAGATAATGTCAAAGACGTATTATGGTACCTTGGGGCCACGCCCTCGCAGCCCCATTGTTGTCAGCATGAGGCACCCCGCGGACGTGAGCCACCCTTGTTTACCCTAAATGCATTTGCCGTAAAAAATTCAAATCTTGTTTATGGATTGGGTCAGCATGCTTAAAGTTCAGCCAAAAACTATACAAGATATAACAGGTGTAATTTTACTAAATAGTTTAATTCAATCTAGATAATATTTCTCCAAGAATTAAAAAAAAAAACAGCCATTTTGTTGCCCCTAATTTAATTTCCTCATAAAAGTTTAAGAAATAGAATTTATCCTGGAGAAAATGCTCTAGAATAAATCTAGTATATAATTTTTTGTTTATAATCTTGCAAAATTATTGAACAACAAAAAACTATTCCGATTCTTTTTTCAAATTTCAACAAATTTTAAATTCGTTGTGTTTGAAATAAATTAATTTTATTCCTGCAATATATAAAAAAAGACCTCGATATAAAATATAAATGTGACTTTTTTAATAAAGCCCTTTTCTCAATATATGATGGAGAATTAAACTATTCAAATAAATTATTATAAATGAGTGGCAAATATTCTTTTGAACAATGAAAAAAAGTAAATGCATCTGACGCGTATTTTATAAAGAAAACTAAATTTTTGACAAAAACAAGTTAATATTCAAATAGTGCATCAATAGCGAGGTCTACGTGAATTTAAGGGTTAATATTGTTTGAATATTAAGAGTAAGTGTTGCTCCAGTTTCATTATTATTATATTTTCATCTCTTTTTAAAATTGAAGCATACCAAAATGAATTTTAAATATTGAGATAACTTTTAATCTTTGAAAATTTGGCTATTATTTAAAAAAAAACCGAACTGGGAACAATTACAATTGTAGAAGAAAATTTATAATTTCTTAAGCATGTCGTATGCCCAACTTTGTTGGACAAAGAAATTGATCATAACTTTATTCAAACGTCCGAATTTAGGATAAGCAAGGGTGTTCCCGACTCCATTATTCATCCATGAGTTACAAACTGCAAACTCTCTCATAATTTCCACCATGTAGATTTACGGCGGCGAATTAGCACAAAAAGTTTTGGGGAGGGCACTGATTTTTAATCAAGCGTGTCAGCAGCCGCTTGAACAAGTGGGTCTCTCTGTGTGTTTATTGGAAAAAGAGAGCTGGGCTTGTTTTCGGCGCGGCCACGGTGATTTATCGTCCGTCGCGAACCCGTGTCGCGCGTGTTGCCTAAATAAGCCATAAATTCGGCTGCTGCTTTTTGGCCCGGATTGCGAAACTCGCGGAATTAACGCGATTATTTGCTACTCCCTGCAGGCACCGATGTTTGACCGCAAAAATTTCGGTGTATATTTTTTACCAGCTCTGTGCAACTGATGGTATTAATTTTCAGTTCCACTGCGCCCGTTGGTTGCTTTTGAACCTGTCGATACATTTAATAAATTATATTTTAAACGGATTTTGCGCGCAGGGAAATGAGAAAGCGCCGCGAGCGCTGAGCGTTAATTTCGGCCGCTCCGCCTCCATGATCAATGAATTGTTGAAAACTTTTCAGCAGCACGTGCAGAAAGGGCAAATTATTCGTTCGATTTGCTCTCATTTGTCTTTCATTTGGTTTTTGTTATAAACGCACAAAGTAATAATCTGTGAAAACTATCAAATTCAATAAATTTTATAGCGTTTTTCTACAGCGTGTAATAAATAAATTAATTAATTCCAAATTTTTAATTTAACATACGAAAAATCTTTACAAAACGCCGATAACCATGATGTATTAACCAACAAAAGATTTCAGTTTTCATTTTGAGATTATAAAAAATTTCCAATCGATTATTTCCACTAAAAATCAATTATGATTATAGAAGTTGAGATAATAAGACATTCTTGTATATATCTGGGACAAATTTCAAGATAAATGAACGTCATAATGTTTAAATTAAACACAACAGAATAACAGATCAACACAATAACATTAATGCAAAGTAAGCAAATCATTATAGATATGCGTTTATTTAAAATTACTACATTATCATTAAAAAGGGATACATATAAGTGTGAAATAAAAAAGTATTTAAAATACTTTTATTTTGTTTAAATAATATATAAATTAAAATAAACTAAATAAAAACGTAATTTTATTATTATTATTAATTCTTCTCATTGTCAGTCGATACAAAATTTTTTTGTTAAATCTTTTGAATTTGCAGTTTAAAATGTGTAGCACTAAATTGTAAAAACAATTTAGTCATAATAAGCAATCCAAATAACCTTTTGACGTTGAAAAATTGCAAATAAAATTTAAAAACTCACTAGATCAAACCTTTCTTTCATCTTCCACCAGCATTAATACTTTCTTGTCTTTCTCCATCTTAAACTCATTCTTCTAGCGATTAACTAACACAATATAATTATATTTTTTAATGAATTAACCATTAAATTTAAACAACCTCTGCCAAGCACCCACGCGAGATGAAACGGCAAATCTCGCAGTCGGAATAATATTTGCGTTTGGTATTTGCGCACCAGCGAGCGAGTCCTTTGCGCCTCGCGACTGGAAACGTGATACGCTGTGCTCATTGGAAACGGGCGAGTTAAGTACCCTGCTCACAGTCAGTTTGCTTAATCGGCTCGAATTTCGTCACCAAACGGATCCGCGCACATTTGCTTAGGTCGCAAATCGAGCGCGCCGCAGAGTCAAAACGATTTCGGCCCGGCTGCAGGGTAAAAATTTTATTGCGCTCCGAAATTCTCGCAGTGACGTTTTTCAGGCCCACACGGAAGTGCTAATGCAGTAAAAAAGTTCTTTTAACGGCGACAATAACAAGACACTTGGTCATTCTCCTTTACGAGGTGAACTTGGGTCTCTTCCCTTTACGGCCGAAGGAACGACGCAAAATGAGCAAACGGCCGGCCGTGCTTGCCAAATCGGATCAAAAATTTAGTCGCTCTCGCTTTTGAATGGCCAACGCAAACAAACGTCCAAAAGCAGTTTTGAGTAGGGTGTATCCTATCTGCGGTGCTGCCAGATCGGTGAAAGACTTGGTAATGGCCAATGATATGTTTTTGCAAGTGCGTCATGCAAATTTTGAATGCCGTGGAAATTATAACTATTATGGCTGGGTTATTAAAGTGAAAACGTTGTGGAAATTACTTTTAGAGCAATTCGATAAATGATGTCAAATTAAATTTACATTTTATGTGAAATTTAAATTTAATTATCTACTTAAAATATTGTATAGAGTAAATTTAATTTAGTTCATTTATGTGGCTTAAAATATTTATAGAAACAAGAAATTAAGCAGATAAAAGCAAATTAATATTATAATGAAAAAACTAATTTAACTGAAAATGGGTATTAATAGGATAAGGCTTTTGTGGCGAACAGCTAGAAATTTTATTAAAAAAGTTTCACATGCTAGTTTTAATCGTTTTAATTAATTTTAATTATCATTTCTTATGCTTATTATTTTTTTTCTAAGTAAAATTAAAAAAAAAATACAAAATGCAGGTGATATCGATTTATTTTTAGTTTTTTCTTTTTTTTAATTGCCTGTAATTTTATAGCTGTAGACAGCTGTAGATTCCTTAAATTAAGAGGATAAATGATAAATTAATGAAGAAATAAACAACAAAAAGAATGGGTGTAAAATTTCAAAATCTTTGAGACCTGTTTTGAGAATAAGTACAACAAAAAACAAAAATGTTACAAATATTGATCTAAAAGTTAAATTATAGTTTTTAGCATTTTTTATTACATAATGTTTTTGTTCCTGATTTTTTTGGTAAATTCTTTTTTACATAATTATTTGCTTCATATAATTACGTCCCTAGGCGTCAAAGTTCCAAACATCAATTGCAAACTGTATTTGCCATTCAGTAAGAAATAAAATAAGTTTTTTGATGGGAACTTTTGCGTTCGGCACCTCATCCCCGCGGAGATAAGAAGTCACGAAAACGGGGCCGAGGCACCACCCTCTCCACGTCGGGTGACAGGTTGGAGCGCGAACTTTTGGCTTCGGCTGCAGACTGATTTCATGTTTAATGCATGCCATCAGTGATTCCATTCAGCCGCACTCATTTCTGGCCCGACCTTTCTCTCGGCCCAAAAGTGTTCGGCAAAGAAAGAAAGAATGTGCGGCCAAATCAGCACACCGGGCTCGTATATTTTCGCGCGCTGGAGAGAGTGCGGATAAGCCGATCTCATCTTTCTCCAGCTCGATCTCACGTGAGAGAGATATTATTGTAAGCCGCTTTCGTTTACTCACCTCACATCTCCCTTCTGCAGGTTAAGCTCCTCAAACACCACGCGAACCCGCTCGTGTGATCTGAAAATCGAATTTTGATTCGCTTTACTGGTGCGTCTTATATGAAGTCTGCGACGCGTATGTCTTTGGGATGGAGCGGCAAAAGTTAGTTTCCGCACGGGGAGTATCAAAAACGGGGCGCACACAGAACAGCAAACAAGATTTTCTCCAAAGAGGTGCGGCGGCGAATTATTCTGGTATTTATTCAAAGGTTTATCCACTTCCCTTAAGCTCGCCTAAATATATAAGCCCAAAAGGAAATTTTTGTATGCAACAATAGCACACATTTTTATTTATTTCCATTGAGAAACATGCTTTGGATTTATTTAACAAAAAAAAAATTTTAGCACAAATTTTGGTTCTTTGGAAAATTTGTAATTCTGGTTTAAAAAAAGTGATAATACTAATTCTCATTAATTTAATTTTTATCAAATAAAATATGAAAATTAAAAAAGAAGCTTTAATTTGTAAAATTATGCTTTTTTTGATTATGAAGATGACAAAAAAAAAAAATCAAGTTGATCAATAAAAATAAGTTTTTTTTTTCTTTTTAACATATTCTATCTTCTAATAAAAAAAATAAATGTTAAGCTACACAGAATAAAGTGATTTTTGAGTTAGGTATGTAGTTCGTCAGAAGAATAGCAAAATTCAAATTCTCCGATGGTACAAATAGGTAGTCATATTTTTTATATTATGAATTGTAAGCTTTGAATTGACTTATAAATTATTCATTACAGGTGAAAAGTTTCAACATTTTGAATAAAATTTTATTCATAAAGATATTTTTGCATTTCATAGCCATTATAATTTATTTTTTCAAAATTTTCTATTCACGGAAAATAAGGTAAAAACTATTGAAACACTAAATAATAGTTAATAAAGATAAATCTAATTTTGTAAATTTTATTGCTTAATTTTAATCAAATTTATAAATAAATGTAACAAATTTTGCTCCTTTTCATGTTCAGTTTTGTTGAATTAAATTTAATATAAATTGCATCTCATGAAATTTAAATTCTCAAATGTTAAATTAATCCGCATTTGGCTCTTGTTTGATGCAAATAAAGCGAGACAGAGAGTTGCAGTTGAAAGCAGGGATGTGTTGGAAAACGTAACAAGGCACCACAAGCCATTTGCATTAATTTGAGATTATGCGCCGTGCCTTTCACCGCACTGTCTGGATGCACTTGAATTTGCATAAACAATTATCCTGCGGCCGCAGGATTAGCATGGGCCGTTTTGGCGGCGGGTGCGGATTATCCAAACTCACCTGGCAGTGAAGCGGTAATTGCAAGACACGCCGGCAGGGTAGCTCGAGGGGAAGCGCGGCGAGAAGAACTTGCCCTTGGACAGCGAAAAATTGGAGCTGGTGAAGACGTAGTCACAATGCGTGCCCGGAACCTTCTGGCCGTCCGTCAGAAACAGTCCTGGAACGAAACCAAGAAAATGAGAGAAAGAGCGAATAATTAATTGCCCCCGCAACAACTCTCTTTATCGCCGCACAAAAGAAAAAGCGGCTGCAAAAACACACACGGCGCGCACCACCACTTTTGCGGAAAATGATGGGATATTTCGAGCAGGCAAGAGGGTGGAAATTCTCTCCGCCGCCCCTGTTTGTTTGTCACAAAAGATGGTGGAGAAATTCTCTCGGCTGCTTTTAACGATGACATAATTATTCGTGGGTGAATTTTGGCAGCAAATTTCGTTCCGAAAGAACTTTTTGCTATGGTGCGAGCGCTATTGAAAAGAGTTGCGTTTTCTTGCGTTTCAACAGTGTGGGGAAAAAATGAGGGCGAACTTTAGTTACTTGATTTTCTATATTCACCAAGAGAACTAAATTCAGCACGCACTGCCATATTCATACTTTTTTTTGCCAGTTAAATTCTTGTCGGTGCGATTCGAGTCTTTAATAAATTTATATACAAATCGGTAGACATTACAAATTTGTAATGTGAAAAACAAGCAACTTTAAAAGATTCTTTTAAAACCGTCACAAAGCAATTTTAACACAAATATATCGTCAATATGAACAACTATATTTATAAATATGCATTTGGAAAACAGATTTAACTCTATATCATTAATTGTTATTAGAGCTATGGTTCAATAATATTGTGTGATATTAAGTTTTTTTCTATGGCTGGAAACATTATTTTTTTTATATCTTTCTTATATTTCCAAAGAGCAGACTGCAGACTGTCTTTTATAACTATTTGGCCTTGTTTCGCAAGTAGTTACATACTAGTTCTAGTAGGTCAAACTTTCTTATTTAGAAAACAGTTGTTTAACAAATTGCTCTGTTGACTTTGCAGTTTCTCAAACTTTGGAGTAATTGTCTGATTACCTTTTAAGAATTATCTAGTTTTTAGATTATTACAAGAAATTGGAAAAATAATTTCCTTCTTAAAAGCTTAAACTATGCCATACACTAGAGAGGAAAAAGTCGAGTTTCAAGATTATAGGTTAGGAGTTTATTGCTGAATAATCCAAAATATTTGTTTCCAATTTTATTTAAAAATAATGTTTTTCAATAGTCTAACTTTTTACTAACAATAAAAATAAAATTTCATCTCAATTTCAGTTTTAAAATAACATAAATTTCTGACATAACGTGAAACAAAATAACAGTATGGCAACCTCATTTTTTTATTCATGGTATTTTTTATTATTCTAAATAAATTTGAGCGAAATCTGAGATTTTTATTGTATAATTATTCCATTTGAAAGAAAACTCATTAATGAGATGATATTTGTAATAAAATCGATCAATATTGCCAAATTTAAAGCAAAATACTTCAAAGTAATTAATAAAATAAGATTGCTGGGAACAATGAGATTTAAACTTTCACGCTTCACACGATGAAAGCGTTTTTAGGGCGCAGAGAACGGTTCCGCTAAATTCTCCTTGGCAGCGGGAAGCGAGCAAGTGTGAGCAAAAAGTGGCGATTTGCTGGCCAAAGAAATTACCTCTCTCGAGACTCGCGACGTGTGTGCCTCGGAGACAAAAACGCGGCACATTTGCATGTCGCCTTGCTCGGGGATATTGTTGCCGGTATAACACCGTCGAGTGAAAACGCGCAGAAAAAAACAAGTACACGTGCATATGTATGTGCGAAATAAAATATTCAGGACGCGCAGGCCGTTTTCTGTTTTTTTGGCCATCGCATCAGCCATTCTATTTGCCGGTGGTCATAACGGAGCTGGCGCGAAATGACCGAAAGGTAAAAGTAGTGCTTGGAAGGAATTTCAATAATCGCGCCGCAGAGACTATACGGTCTGCACAGGGCGTTTATAAATTTGCCGTGCATTGTGTTTGCACCATTTTATCGTCGGCCATATTGGCAGAATGTACGAGCGAGAGTTTTTAATAAATTAATGTGCTTTATTGCGATGCCAAGATTAATAACGAAGAGCAGAATTTGCGCTCCGGGACAAATTAAATGGGCACTCAGACGCGGCGTAAAAGGCTTGGAATCCGCCGCCGATCGATTTTGCACTCGATAATAGGATTCATCGAATTAAACGATAATGCGTTTGCAATTATATTGTGAGGCAGTAATCAACGCAAAAGTGTTTTCCACTCAGTGTAAGCTAATTGATTCTTTACAATAAAATTGGCCACAATAAAAAAATTTAAAAATGTTTGAGACGTTTTGAGGATTTTTTGTTTTTAACTTATTTGTTTAGAATAATTTTAATTAACCCTATTTTTACTGTTTTTTCATGAAGATTTCACTTGATTCTTGACAGTAATGAACTTTTTATTTTTAATAAAGAAAGGAAAAATGGCTTACTGAATAAAAGTGCCTTTTTTACATTATACATCAACCTGTTCATACATTCTAGAACTGATAATAAGATGTTGTGTGTCCTTCTAAACATTTGGAAATAATGACAGTCAAATATTAAGATTTTTGAGACCATAATATATTGCATAAAATTCTAAATTTGATGAAAACACTAATTAAATTTATTCATATTCGGGCGAAGTTCGCCTCTGGGATTTTTGATCGAGCTCGATTTTTTTTTCTTTTTAGACGACAAAATTTGCTGGAAACCAAAATCCTTCATTTTACGTCGCAATGGATAAGTAATTTTTAAAGTTCTAGTGGCAATTAGCTAGAGTTCTGAAACTCGTTGCATTAGTTAGATTGAAACGGTAGAATGCGCGTTAACGACGTCTTTATCTGCAAAACAGAACCAGTATGGCATTAAGATGAGGACGGAAAAACAGCATAGGACGGTCGTTAAAAGTCGTAGAGCGAGCAGAGAACAGCAGCGCATACACTAGGCTCTAATAAGACAAATTAGCGCGGCGGCAGCGGCGTGCATTTTACTAAGTCGGTTGCACTTCATTAGCAGAAACACACTCGGCGGTTTTCGCCTTTAAATCCAATTAAGCCGCTGCACAATAACAATTACTGCAGATAGCGCTCGGAATCATGCCACGTACATAGCAGTGTTCATGATTTGAATTAAAATACCAATTTTATAATATTCTTTCATTAAATAATTTGAATTGAATTTCTTTGAAATAAATTATTTCCTTAATTGATTTCCCTCTGTCCTCTTGAATAATCTGAAACTAGTTTAGAATTTAAGTCAGTGCTAATTAAGTAGTGGCATTTAAGTGGCAATAAATAGGATCTGAAATCTATAACCCTGAATTATCTAGGCACCTGCGTAAGCATAGCTGCATTTATGACTAAATCTAGTTACATGAAACACTGAATGGCATTTTAAATTTTTATTTCAAATATTTTTTATTAAAAAGAAAATCTTCAATTCCATTTTAGTCCTTAAAGCTAAAATTGTGTCATTAAAATTCAAAATTTGTAAGACTAAATGAAATTAGTTTAAAAATAATATTATTTAACTTTTTGTTATATATTTTATTTTTTAGTTTTTTATTTTCAAAATAATTATTGCTTATCTTCAATTTTTATTTACTTTAATAGACTTAAATGTTAGTAAAAAATTTAAAAATCCCCCTTAAAAATCAATAAAAATATTTCTTTGACATTTTTAACTTGTACAACTAACCTTCAAATTTTACTGAAATTTTGTCTTACACTTTTCTGACATTGTATATGCTGACAAATTGTAGGACACCTTAAAAGTAACCTTTTAAGCAATATATAGTACTTTTTTCCACCACTCTACTTCTCGTACATTCTGCTCCACATATAGCCCGATCGTAAATTCCACCCGTTTCTATATATCTATGCGAGAGAGAAAGAAATTGTTTTCTGCGGTGGCCAATAAATAAATCTTAGCACGTATCGAATCAATACAAAAGGCTATCACAGATCAAAAGCGGAATAATGGAGAGGCCCGCCCGCTGGCCACGGACCGCTGACTTCGCTCGTAATAAGCCCCCCTTCCCTCCATATTTGTACACAAAGAGTTTGGACTCTCGAAAGCAAGATGCGACCCAAAACATATTCCAACAAATTGCCCCATCAAGTGGCTAAAGATCGCTCCTCTCGAATAAATTGCACGCGGTGCAGCCGACCTTCTTAAGTGGCGGTATTTTTCTCCAAAAAACAATATCGGGGGCCCTGCTTGTGTTTCCATAGAGCGCTCGAAATCGTTCGTTTCCGAATCTCTGCGATTCCTATAAAGGAGAAAGTAAACCTTTCCGCGCTCAAAATGAATCAACTTGACCTATAAAACCTTTACTGTTGAACCGTAAGATGTTTATGATCAAGAAGAATTTTTTTTTCCTTTATTTAATCTTATGAAAAAGAAGCAAGCAGAGGAAACCTTTGGTTTAAATCAGTTTAAATGTTTAATTAATTTAAAATCATTTTTGATTGGAAAAATTCTAATAAATAAACGCGTCGACGCCTGAAAATCGTGAAAGTATGCAACTGGCAGGACATAATGATTGCCTAGTGTATCGGCCTCCAAAAGTGTATTGAGGAAATCTGGTTGAAAATAAATTGTTCAAAAAGATTATTAAAAAAAAATTTCAATATTTTGCACGTTTTATTTTTAATTTTGTAAAAATAAGTGTGGACTCAAACATTCAGCAAGTAGGACACACTTTAAATAAATAAAATATTAATATAATAATTTATTTTGAAAGTTTTGAAAAAATTCTTGTCAGTGCTCGTGCCGTTTTTTCCACAAATACCTTTTTTCTAACAAATTGTTTTTAAAAATTGAAATGTAAACAATATGATAGAATATCAATTGGACATAAAATCAATAATGATATTATAAAATAATTTGAATTGCTGAACATCAGCTGTAAATGATGTAGTTTTTGGATTAAAGATAATTTTTAATATAAAAACCAAAATGTATTTAACCTGCTTAAAAAAACTGTCATGAGAAATCTTGTCACTCAAGGTAGTTCAGCTTCGCAAGGAATACGTGGACCAAATTCCTCCATTAAAACCATTTTTATTGCTTTTCAAGC